GTCTCCCTCAATACAGACACGGTTGCCCACAGGGCCAGGGTCAAGCTGTGCTGGCCATGCAGCCCTGCATGGTGCCTGCAGCAGAGAGGACAAGTCACCCCTGTGTCACCCAAACTCACTTGTGCCATAGGTAGGAGCTGTACGTGAGTTGAAATGGCCTCCAGAGGCTGCAGCAAGACCCCACTGGCAGCTGGAGGAAAATCTGGTGGCCTGATCGCACTAAGCAACCATAACCATGAATGTGTGGAGTCCTTGAAGGCTGGAGTGAAGCAACACCAACCTTGGCCCCAAGGAGCAGCCCTAATCTTTTATGTGCAGTTCCATGGACTTAGGCCAAATTCATAAACTCTATGCCTTTGGCTCTGTGTTTGTAGCCAAAAAAAGAGCCCGCATTGATCATGTACGTGGGCTGGGGTCTGCAAGGAACCCCCACATGGGCAGCTGGAAGCAGCTGTCCTTTCCCCACAGTCCTGTCCTGCAGCCCCAGCAACGCCCGTAGGCGCTGGGCAATGCTCCACGCAGGCTTTGCCTTGCGGAGGAAGAGGAGGCTGATGGAGCGTCTTTGAAGACAGGATCAAAGCAGCAAGAAGCCATCCGCTCTTTTGATTCCTTAATGGGCATTTTCCATGCTAGCTCCCCTCCCGCCTGGCTGCCATGCCGTGGAGCACACACGCTGCAGAAGCATTCCTGGCTTCAAAGCCCCCTCTTGGGCAGCCTGTTTTCTTTTTCTCCCACTGAGCTGGGAGAAAATTGCCCCCTGGTGATGGAGGGACCATCACGGCTGCTTACCTGAGCCATCCTCAGGCAGCACCACACACACTGCTGGCCATCCAGGACACAGGCAGGGTTGGGCTGGGGGGACAGGGGGTCCGGTGCGGTCCAGCCTCATACCAGCCCTCCCCATGCCAATCTCTGGAGAGAAAAAATGGTCGTTCTTTGCTTAGAAACCTCTTGAAACACATAGAGGAGCTGTTCTTCCTTGTGTGGCAGTTGAATCTGTGCAGGGAAAAAAGAAGAGCCAGTTGAGATTCATTGGTCTGTGGTCTCTTTTGGGGGCTTTGGGGGCTGAGGGGTATCTGACATTTAACATCTTTTTAAGAGGATCATCTCTTTGCCGTACCATTGTGTGAGAAACTTCACTGGGGAAACACCCTGCTTTAAAGGCAAACAAACAAACAGAACCCCATCTGATATTATAAACTGAAAATTCAAATCAGCTGGATATTTTGTTGAAATAATTTTCTAATGGAAGTTGTTATTTTAATATATTTTTACTTTTTTGCTCTCGAACGTGGAATGGAAAAAAGTCCTACAAAAGTGAAAAGCATTGAAATGAAAGTTTCTGCATGTTATGTACTCAGAATATTCAGATTTTTAATGCAGGAGTTGCCCTTTCAAAATATTTTAATTTCATTTTCAAATGTATTTCATTTTTTATGTATGATAAGTTTGCATTATTTATTTACCTGTCAGCAATGATATACTATGACCTTATGCTGAATTTTGATAAAGAAATAAATCTAAAAAACCTAGTGATGATTGAAAGGAAGAAAAAAAATTGTTGTAAAGCATATTTTTGAAACAAATTTTGAAAATGTGAGGGTCTAAGTTTGAAATTCAAAGTCAGTTTGAATGACTAACGCAGTCCAACATTTTCGCAGCACAGCTTTCTTCCTTTCAGCAAGGGGGACAGGCGCTACAGCTGACAGGAAAGTAGGAAATTCTCCAAAGAATAACATTGTAATTTATCCTGATATAAATGTTGAGGGTCCGTGACTGATTCCTGTAATGGCAGCACAGAAAAATAACAAAGATAACTAGAAGATAAGTAGAAAAAGTTAAAGTATTTGAATGTATCGTGGTGCTGTTAGTAAGAATTGATATCTGCCAATCAGCAAAATAAAGAATCCTACTTTGAGAAAATTGCAAATGCCATAATAGCACCATATTTTCTGCCTTGTTTCTTGGAGAAAAAAAATATGTATAAACTTTGGAACTATTAAAAGAACCTTATAAACTTGGAGTCTGTATAAAATTCTGATTAGCTGCAAATGTGAAATGAAACAAATGTCCCTGATGATACCCAGCAGACACCGAGCTGTGCACAGGACCAGCTCCTTGCTTGGAAACTTCTCCCTCAAAGAGGAAACGGGAGCAGCAGATCTGCTTGGTCTAAGCTGGCTGGATCACCAAGAAGCCTGTGATACTTGGAGACAGCATCAACTCTCACTGTCCTCGGTGAAATGAAGCCCATGGGGATACCCATAATTGTCCCCCACAGGTATGTCTTCAGCTCTGACTGCGCGGGAGAAAAGGGCTCTGGACATAAAACCAGTTTGAGTAGCTCTTCCAGTGAAGGCACCCAGAGCAGAAACCACTGAGATTCCCTGGCTCTGCTCTGGGTTAGGACACCTTCCCTGCAGACTGGGAGGGGAGCTGAAAGCCCCCTCATTTCTCTGGGGTCAGTCTTTAAGGATTGCCTGGGGTCTGGGGGCTGAGCAGCACAGTTTGAATGCATAGAGTTTTTTCCTCTTTGAGAAAGCAAGTGATTTTGATCTACTGGTAACTCACCTGTTGAGTGTAACGCTTTGTGATGGCCCAGAGCACCACAGGTGCACTATTTTGCTAAAAAATAAACTCCTAATCAGTCGTGTATATTAAGAAGAATTACACATGCTGGTTGGAGAACTGCACATCGTCTTTGGGAAAACTGCAAGGAAAGTCAGCATTTTCTCTCTCTGTAGCTGTGGTAGGTGGAAAGTGATGAAATATCAGCTCTTGGCTCTACCTTGCTTAGTGACTGCTTTTGAAACTTTGTGTCAAAACCTTAATGTCATTTGAACAGAATTTTCTGAATTTAATTGACACAAACACAATACAGGAGAGTTCAAACATGCAGGAGGAGACAGGAGGAATGACGTACGGTAGCCCTTGATGGACTGCAAACCCATTAAGGCTTTGTGCTGAGTAGCAGGAATATCGCTCAGAGCGACGGTCATTGCCAAACGTCCCTTTCAGAGTCGCCTTCCCTCGGTGTCCTGCTTTGTGTGGAGGTGGAGAATGGCAACAGCACAGCTTTATAAAATAAATAGCTTTGTAAGTGTATTGTGAATGGAGGATGACATGCTAGGGATGTGCAGTCATAAAAATGATTTAATGATTTCTTTCTCACGAAAGGAAGGTTTTTAGGGTTCAGTTCATTGCTGAGCTTACGGCTAACCAGACGCTCAAGAATGTAAGTCTGCCTTTCTTTTTTTCAGGAGATCAGATATGTGTGTCCTCAAACCCTGCAGCAACATCGTCCAGGGTAGGTACTTCAGTGTGGCAAAACTGTTCTTCTAGGAGAAACAGCTTTGGAAATGCACTGACACCACCTTTCTCACATTTAAAAGCAGAAAAGCTTAAATGGTTCTTTAAGCAATGGAACTCTCCATGCCCCCCGACTTCTGTAAAAACCTTATTGCAGGCAGAGGGACGAGGAGCAGGAGAAACCGGGATCCCTTTCTGATTCAGCCACTGTCCCCAACCTCACTGCTGCTCCCATCCTCCTGCTGCTGGAAGCACCCCTCCACCCTGCCCTCTCCTCATTACATAAAACTTCCCCCAGAAGGTTTGACAGCACCTCTCAGCTTCTAAACACCTACCATCTCCACACTCAGGCTAGCCCAGGTCCTTCAGCCTGCAGTGGGCTAGTGGTGGCAGAGCTGAGATTGCCCAGGGAGGGCTGCTGAAGAAGCCAGCAGCAGCAAAGGGCTGTAGGTGTAATCCTCTGTTCTTTTTGAGGTACCTATGCCCTTATATACACCCTATCCATTGATTAAATGATTTGTTATGCTGTAGAAAAGTAAAAAAATGCAAATTGGCACATCTAATATTAATTTTACTTGCTAGTATCTGCCACTAAAATGATGCAAATAATGGATTTTGTTTCAGTGGGCCATACCTGTTTCTAAAACAGTTTCAGAATTACTTAACATTTTCATTCAACCTGAATGGAGTATTTCAGTCCACTTAATGTTTAGGTAAGTTTCAAGCTATTTTTTGCTTAATAATTTGACGAACTGAAATAATTCACTTTGAAAATACATAAATGAAGCACTTAAACATTTCCAAAAGTATGAATAACTGTTATTTCCACTGAACCTATTCACTGAATACTTCCTCACCTGGGCAGTTAGTTCCGTTCTCTTCCCTTCACCCCTCCTCTTTTTTTTTTTTGTAGGAAAGAAATCAGAGTCCTCAAACTCATCACAATGTATTCACTGCCCTGCTCCTGGATGTATAATTCATTTTTCCACAGGTGATTTCTTTTTCTCGTAGTTTTACCTAAAAACCCAAATACTGAGGAGAATGCATTGAGAGGATCTTTTGATGATCCTGTCTGGGACTACTGCTGCCTGATGGACCTTTAAGCCCTAGCCCCAGCAAAGCTCTCTGAATGCTCTTTCCTGGGGAGAAGCGTGATTGTGGATGCGCTTAACACTGAGCATATGCTTAAGTACCTTTCTGAGTTGCTGCCAAATGTCTGCGATGCTCTTATCACTGTGCATTGTCCAAGTTCAGAATGTGAAAGAATAATTCAGTGGTCGGCACGTCGCTCGTCTTTGAAGGCTGCACAGCTTGTCGTCAGGCCGGGACGGGTTCCCAGCCCGCTCATTCCTGCTGCTCCAGGAGCTCTCTGCTCGGCCACATCCTGCTGCTCCAGGAGCTCTCTGCTCAGCCACATCCTGCTGCTCCAGGAGCTCTCTGCTCAGCCACATCCTGCTGCTCCAGGAGCTCTCTGCTCGGCCACATCCTGCTGCTCCAGGAGCTCTCTGCTCGGCCACATCCTGCTGCTCCAGGAGCTCTCTGCTCAGCCACATCCTGCTGCTCCAGGAGCTCTCTGCTCAGCCACATCCTGCTGCTCCAGGAGCTCTCTGCTCGGCCACATCCTGCTGCTCCAGGAGCTCTCTGCTCGGCCACATCCTGCTGCTCCAGGAGCTCTCTGCTCGGCCACATCCTGCTGCTCCAGGAGCTCTCTGCTCAGCCACATCCTTAAAGCCAGCGGCTGCCGGGCCATTTCCCAGCCCCTGCTGGGAGGTGGGTCTCAGGCAGGAGAGCTGAGCAAAGGGGGGTCACGGCAGCGCTCTGACGGGGCAGGCACCGGGCACCCCAGGCAGTAGCTGATGCTCTTGTACCTCCCCAAAGGTGGGCTGAAGGCAGGGCGCTGTGATGTCCCCATGGTCTGGCTTTTCTCCTCACTCCCTCTCACTTTCTGGATGGGTAAGAACTGTCACAGATATAAGAAAAATGAATTACTACCTCGTAAATTTGCAGAAGTACCTCTTTCGGCCGGCACAGATCCCACCGCATCAGAATTTCTCTTCATCTCTTTCCTCCTTGAGGATACAAGTCTTGGTTGGAAGCACCACCTGGTCTTCTGCTCTGGGCCAGGTTAAACCATGCACCATCTAAATGCCACCGCTCATCCCATCTTGGGTACTTTACATCTTAGCAGAGTCTCTGTCCCTCCAAAGTGTTTCCTGAAAAAGTACATGCTCGGGAGGGGTGGGGGCAGGCAGGGGCTGGGGAGGTGGGCTGGCCCGGCTTGGTGGGCTGGGAAGGACATGGGAAACCACTGCACACAATGGGATGAGTCACCCCACTCGAAACATAAGTGTGAGGAGTGATGAAAGGTCCTGATAGGGCTGTCTGGAGGAGGGATGCCTGGACTTCACCAGTGGTTTAGGGGGAGCTATGTGAGAAATGGCCAAAGTGCACGGACAGCTGAGGGGAGCACTGGGGACTTCTTGGGCTGCGTGACCTTGCAAGGGCACAGCACCGAGCTGCCTGCATCAGTGATGCTACGTAAGGCTGAGGCTACGTAGGGGACAGCGTTAGAAACACCAGATTTGGGTACAGATGTAGCAGGATGGGGACCAGTGGGGAAAATATAATTTGGGATCATTTGGAAGGAAATTGGGATGGAAGAAAGGTGGTACAAGAGCAGTAAAAAGGAGAGTGAGGGAGTGGAAAAGGGAAATAAGGTGTGCAGTTTGAGGTCCCCGCCAGGTACCGTCACTGCTGCAGCCTGAGTGAGGAGACAGACACAGCCTGTGGTCATGCCCACACCACGTGTCACACCTGCTTCCGTGGTCACCAGCCAGGGGCAGGGGGTGCTCCCCAAGCAGCTGCCACCCTGGGCATCCTGCAACATCCATGCCAGTGCCTTATCCAGCCCTGGTGGCATCGACATACCCACCACTGCTTCAGGGCAGATTGTTTACATCTCCTCCCTGAAAAAGTCTTTATTGTAACTTTTGACTTGTTTTTTAAAGACTTGCTAGCTTGACAGAACACAGAAAAAGAAATGAAAATTCAGGATCTGTCTCATTCGTACTTCCTTGCAAATTATAAGCACTACCCAAGCAGAACAGAGATTTATTTTCAAGCGTGCAAGCAGTTTAAGGTCACTTACTTAAAATTAAATTCAAGAAACAATGGTGATGCTTCTGCATTACTCTCCCCCTTTAATGCCACGCTGCATTTAATCCGTCTTACTGTTCAATAGAAATAGCTTACTCCTACGTCTGAGTAACTGATTGGGTTAGAGCCTGCATCTCAAACACCATCCTGTCACCAGAAACGAATGCCATTTTTAGATCTCTCATTCCAAAGAAAGGTCAGTCACTATTTTAAACAATAGAAGGAGAAAGTAGTCAGTCCAATGTTTGTTCACTTTATCCTTTCTCCAGCTTTTAAAGGGGAAAAAACAATCATCAGTGTGCCAAGGTAATTTCTAATATTTTAATATAGTTACACAGTATCAACAGAATATGGCAATAAGTTTTTTTTCTCAAGATGTGATTTAACATTTCTGACACAGCACAGTAGTGTTGTGAAAGGACATCAGATAAGAAATACAGCTGGTTGAAATCTTCTGAATTTCAAGTTCCTTACAATTTTTTTCAGAAGAAAAAGAAACTTTATCCAGAAAATAAGAACAGTAAAAAACCAACAACTAAGTGGTAACACAACAGCTTTGACTTCATAGGGATTCATCTAGTTTATGGAGAAGTGTCCTTCAGGGTCCCAATCCCAAGACTGGGACCAGTATGTTAGGTTCCTTACTTCTCCTCAGTGGCTCTCTAGGAAGCCTATGGAGACCAGCCCCTCAGCCTGGCCAGCTAACATATGTGGCCAAAGTGGACTACACTGGTACTATCAGTGGGTATGCGTGAAAATTTGTGGTGGAAATTCACTGGCAAATGTACTTTAAGACACCCAAGTTTTCCAGGCAGCTGCAGCTGAGCTCATGACTTGGCCAGTGGAAGATCTCCAGTACCTTCACAACCACTTGCCATCCACCTTTATTGAAACCTTCCCAGTCAAGCTTACAGACTAACTTACTGGGTTTTCATTTGAGGTTTTAGCATTTGCTTTCCTTTTTTTTTTAATTTTCTGCCAGTATTCCCTAAGGTTTTGGAGGTGATGATCAGGAAATCACCCAGCACTTACCTCCTTACAGAAGAGGCAGCGTGCGGTTGCATGGCCACCGGCAAGGAAATGTCAGTATGAATTACTGCCAGCTGGTTTTGTAGAGACTCTTGAGTGAAAGGGTGAGGGGAGGACTCGGTGGAAATGCTCTGTCATTATGGTCCAGGCCGAGAGCGTATGGACACAAGCCTGCAGGAGACAGAACAGAGCTCATTATTCATTATATAAAGTATTCCATATGAGAAATAATAGTACAAGAAATAAAGCCATCATAGCTGTATCTATGGTGGTGGCATACACTTCTTGTTACCTAAACTAAAAATATCCATGAAGGAACTTCATAAACCTGAAGACAGAGGAAGAAAATTTCCATTTTGTATAAGTTAAAAATAATGTCAGGCTTATGCATGACAAAAAGGGGAAACATAAAAAGTATAGACTGATCTATCTGAAGTTTTATATAAGATGATTTTGATTTTGCATGATAAACAAACACATTACATTGTTATCACCTGGGGCCTGAAACACCATAAATGTCCCCTGGAGCTCCTTTGATACCACCTTCTCTGAAGGAAATGTCTCTGTCATATCTCGAGCTCAGGTGAGGTAAATCAGCACCTAAAAAGAGTCTTTTTTGGCCTGTTCGATGTCACTTGAAAATACAGCCTTATTTTCCATGAATGCTATTGGACACAGCAGCTTGGGAATGCCTATGGGGGAAACATCAGCTCTGCCAGACAGTGAGCAACCTTCACGGGGAAAGGAGCTTACCTCATCGCCTCAGTGTTTCATCACTTGATAATTAAATGCTTTTTCCCCTTTGGTTCTTACACAGAGCTCAGCCAGTGCAGATGCAATTTCTTCATGTGCGCTATTCAAATAAATTACTCCTGAGAATGAAAATGTGATTATTGCAGGAAAATTTTGAGCATTTGGGAGCATATTTAAATTCTGGTCGAGATCTGGCTCTTCATAAGTATTTCCCCTCTTTTTCCTACAGCATGTTCAGACTATTGTCTTTATCCTTCTTTTCCTTACATAGTTAGAAAATCTGTTTTTTTCATCTCTCTAGATATAAATAGTTACACAACATATTAGACACCTTAGGGTGCAGTGAGTTGTGATTCTGGCTTTATTTGAAATACTGGTATATTCAGTATGAAAAATCTATCGTTTCAGCTATCATTTAGTAAATAGAGAGTGTTGAGCAAGAAAGAAATAAAACTCAGACAGGATCCATTTCAACTTAAAATTGCCTTTTGTCTGGAGCCCAGGTCAGCAGGTCACAGTGTGTAGGGGTGACACCCCCTGCCCTGCCCCAGGAGCACCTCACCCGCTAATGAGCAGTCTGGGCAGTGACTCAGTGGTAAATTATAGTAGAATTTAGCTCTGGATAGACTCTACAAAGCAAATTTATTCAAGCCATTTCATATTGAAAAGCCTGATTACCATTTACCATATGATGCCTTTCTATCACTTCAGCACTATCAAAAGGCTTTATTGTAGATGAGATCAAATAAATATAGCAAAAACATGAAAAAAGAGCACAGTCATATCCTGACTGATAGCATGCTCCTACAGACTATTGCCACCAGTTGAGAGTACGTGCCAATATTTTTATGAACCATCATTACAAAACATAACTGAAGAAGGCTGGAAGAAAACAGCAACCTAGACATGGTGTTTAAGAAAGCCCTGGGAAAGGAAAAAAACAGAAGAGGAGAGCTGCTGAGCTGAATCAGCATGTGGGCTGGAGCTGGAACAAAAGGATTCTTCAGTTCATGCCAAAAATACTCATCAGTGCTGCTGCTTTTTTAAGCTTAACATTCATAGGTGACTTTTCTTGTTTCTGAACAGTCCTGTGGGAAACTGCATGGGTTCAAGTATGGGTGGCTGTCAGAGCCCTTGCTTTCTGCTCACTTCGAGAGTTTACCTGGGAGAAGAGCTTGCTCCTCACTGAGCAGGGTGAGGTGGTGCCCTGTGAGGCTGTGTCCTGCCTCAGGACCACCCCGGGCTCTTCTCCAATGGACTCCTAGCTTTTAAATATGGTTCAGCCCTTTTTCTTCCCTTCTCATCTTCTTTCATAGTGCTGCCAGATCCTCAAAGGCAGCCCAGCAAGATCAGCATCTACTGAAGATCCCAGTTGCCAAGGTAGCTTCCATCTAGGTGGGACAAGACCACAGTCTTCTTGTGTATTAGGTGACTCATTATTTAACGTAAAATATTATTAAAATTACCCAAAAAATCACAGGTGACCAAAAGAATATTTTTCTTGTCAGATAATTAGGCTGTAGGACTCATTATCACAGGGAGTCGCTGAGCCCAGAAATTTAACAAGCTTCAGAAAGGACTGGGCATATGTATCACCAAATAGGGAAAACTGAAATCATCAGACTAAAGAAATACGAAGAATTTTCTCAATTTTCAAGTTTAAATGAACATTTAAGAATTAAGGACTATAAAGAGGTCTTCCATGGAGGCAAGCATGACACCCACCTACTCATGAAACCTTGGTGGGATGGTTGACCCCAAAGCTGAAGAAGTGGGTCTGGTGTCCACACTGCGCTGCTGCCTCCTGCAAGCTTTACGTTCTGTCTAGTAGAGAAGTTCCTGGTATCAGTAAACCAAGGAATCAAAATCACTGGGCAGCCATCATCCTCCTCTTAGATAACACATAGGTGACTCCATGCCATGGTCGGTTGTGTTTTTCTTAGCTGCGGTAAGCAAACCTTATTTACAAAGCTGAAGCTAAGCTCGTTTTTTTTCAGTACTTCAAAGAGTATCACCAGTAACAACCTTTTAGAATCTGAACATGTTTGATATCTTGCTAATCCTCAAGTAAATAGATCTAAGGAACCAGCAAGCTGAACCATGCAAAAAATACAGTATATACACTTGCAAAAATCAAGGTGTTCTTTTATTCTTCAACTAGAAATCCAGTCTTTGCATCTGAGCAAAGTAATAATAATAAGCCAACAATTTTGGCCTCAAAATGCATTTGCTTTTAAAAAATGAAACCAGCTTTTTATTTAAGAAACACTGTTCCCCAGAAACAGGCACAATCTTGGTCTTAAAATGGCCTTTACATGAAATGTTTCCTCATTTAAGGGCATTTAATTACCTCAGGAGTATGAAACATAAAAATTAATATACCTGTACAGAAAAGTTGAGAGAAAATAATGTCCTTTACCTTTTGTTTTGCTGATTATGGGTCAGTAGAAAATTAGATTGGCTTCTAATTCTTCCCCAATGTGAAAAGGATTCAATCAATTACACCATGAGATTATATTATTAATGCAATCATAGCTTAAAAGAAACTGGCCCTAAAGGGAGATGCCAAAATGAATTCTTCATGTAGTAACAAAGGAAGCCAGAAGACTCCTTCACAACGAGTCACGTCTGCACTAAAGACAAGCCTGACATTTCATATACTTCTAAATAAGTATGCTGTAAATTTACAGTTTCTATTTCTATATCTAACACTTGCTAAAGGCTCCAAAGGCATTCAGAGCATCACTAAAGGAATGTATTAGGTTTGATATGGCACCAAGTTACAAATATAAGCTGGGAAAGTACAAAATAGGAAATTATTTCATAATATATCCACTGCTCAGGCATTGAGGTATTTTTCTCTCTTAATTAAAAGGCAACAATTTGTAAAAGGCTTCAAGGAAACATTTAAGTTTTCCTAATCAAAGCATAAAATTAATCTATGGAACACATTACCGCATGGTAAACTACTGATCTTTTCAGAAGAAAACACAGAGAGTCTGAAAAAAACAATTTACATTTTCTGGCCCTCCCTCTCCCCTCAAAATTCAGTTTTTTTTGAACCCAGTTCCAGTCCTGAAGGTGCAAGAAGGTAACACATCCACCGGAAACACCAGCTCTCAGACTGGTACAAATGCTGCCAAAGTCCCCTGTTTCCACTGCAGCACTTTCCAACTCTAATCAATTCCCCAAGGCTGTGGTGAAATGACTCCAGTAATGAGAGGCAGCTGTGGAAGGAGGCCTGGGAGGGCCATGGAGAGGACGGCTGTCCTACCTGGACTCCCTGGGGTCCAGGAACCCACCTTGGACAGGGCAGGGACACGCGCTTGCCTCAGCCCCTGTGTACAACATTGTGTCAGGTTTGGAAACTGCAAACTCATGATTTATAGGCAAGGTGGTTTAGGTCATAGGAGAGGTTTCTAAAGTGTATTTGTAGTCATTTATTTTCCTCCTCCTGCTCAGTTCTGTTGAGCCAGACCGAAAGCATTAATGGAGCAGGATTTTTATCATCAAAAGATATGAAAAATCATATCAGTAGAACTGGCTGATCCTCATTTACTCTTTAAAAATAAGAGGAATAATGCATTGATGCATAATAATAAAGCAATAGTGATCCTAAGCATTTTCCAGGCATTCACTTAGGATGCCATGCAGGAACTGCCAGCAGCTGCCTGATAACGTCGTGCTACGTGATCTCATGAATCTGGGGGTCCAGGGCCTCCTGCTCTGAGTCGGAATTTCAGAACAAGGAAAGTACTTGCTGTTTATCCTTATTTTTATTATGAAACTGCTTATGACTAGATTACAAAAATAATGAATTGGTTATAATCCTGGCCATGGAGCCTTAGAAACCAACAGTGAGGCTTCTGCTGACTCTAACTGAAAAAACTCCAGGTTATGAGACGCCATTGTATGAGCTGCAGAGCACAGGCTAAAAATTTGTATGAAAGGATTACAAAGTATTTGTGTTTAAATTTAAAATGTGTGGAAAATCACCTTAATTCAAAGAGTCAGCAAAACGTGTATGTACAACCTGACTGTTCAAAAATCAAGGTTAACTTGCATTTAGGAGGTTTTCATAAGCCAAGGCTCCATACAGGCACGAATTTCTCCAGTGTGCAAAGGTTATGGTTCCTCTGTCAGTTCCTCTTCTTGTTTATTCAGGATTTAGAAAAGATATCCAAGACTTTGAATTTTCATGAATTTTCCATTCATGACTCAACCCTTGTTCATACATTAGGTATACAGACAGTCATTTTTTAAAATTTGTTATTAGCTATATTTCACAAACACAGCTAATCTATGTATTTTGAACGGAGTCTCGCCTGTTGCCTCTGGGAGCTTTCCCTTGGTTTCAGTCCATTGTGGACCCTTATCACTTTGTGTTGGGTACTAATTCTTCTGTGATAGGATGGGTCCCCATTTGGGGAAGCCAAATGTGGTATAGATTTGTTAAAGTACTTTTTTGAAATAAAATATTATTTCTTTTCGCTCTTAAATTTATAAAAATTTAAAATTGTAAAGCTTCTAACTTTCTGTGCCTGCTGAACCACTGAAGGAGATTACAGCATAAATATATATGACATCCACATTATTACCAAATACATGCATTAGGAGCAATGCTATCACAGTGAATGCCAAACGAATTAACAGTGACAGGGTAGTAAATGAAAGTGTTTATACATTTCTTTCTCACAGCTTACAAACTTAAGATTTATTCCTGACCTTTGGTGTAAAACTTGATGATCGCTGCTAAATCAAAGACAATGCCATTAGTATTCAGTGCCACAACTGAGACCTGGAGTTGTAACAGATAATTTTCTAAGAACTTCTTTGTGGATTAACATTAATTATCATGCATACTTCATGGAGAATTAACATCAGAAGGAAATTAGCTCATTTCCATTCACAACACTTCCCAGTTTATTCTTGCCATTTTTGTGACAATGAGTTTACATGTTATAAGTTGTCTGTTTAGAAACTCACCACTTTCTCCTTGTTCTTGGACAGTTGTAGCAAGGATCTGACACCAAACATCTCCTCTGGGCTCTTTGGGTCCTCAAGTAGGCTCCAGTGGGCTGAAGGCACCTAAAGGAGGGATTTAGAGGTGAAATAGGGACCA